AGCTGCTTCAAATGCTACTTGCAGAAACAAGGCCTGCATGCGGATACAAGACCAAACGTTGCCGCATGTGGGAAGACCAAACGTTGCCGCATGTGGGAATTCCATGACGTGGCGTGAGAGAATTCCACAGGCGGCTGCTTCAAATGCTACTTGCAGAAACAAGGCCCGCATGCGGATACAAGACCAAACGTTGCCGCATGTGGGAAGACCAAACGTTGCCGCGGAGTTGAAATGAGGGGGGCTGTGATCATTGTGGACCGTAAGATTGACACAATCCTTGAGAAGATCCAATAAATGATCTTTGGGGTTGGATTGGGTTGGGTCAAATTGAAGATACAACTTCAGTTTAGTACACAAGTGGAGCAGCTTATTCACAAGCATGACAGTTTGACTGTAGCGGCTGTTTGTATCAGAGACAGACTTGTGAATTGCATCCAGGAGAGACTCGACGACAGAGATTGAGATATTTTCTGTGTCAAGCCGTGAAATACATTTAAATATTGAAATCATATAATTTCTTGAGATGTCTTGATCGTTAGGCATGAACGCATCGAGTTTCTCGAGGTACGCATCAAGATCAACAATAAATGGGGTCCAATCGGGATAAATACCCACCCAATGATTTGCTTGATCTGAAACATCACGCAATTCCTCGTAAGCCAATGCTAGGGACAATTGATTTGCCTCCATGCAGGTCATGGTCTTGTGGATTGAAACATACAAGTTGTCAAGCATGTCCTGGATATTGCCCTGATTTAGTTTTTCTAGATGAGTGTTGAAGATCCTGTCTATTTTGCTCTTGTGTTCCTYAAGCTTCTYGTCCATGTCACATAAGGAGATAAGATCCTTATGCGTGGAGGAGCAAAGCTTTTTGAGGAAGATCTTCCGTCTCGATAGATCGATGGGCTCAGGTGGCAAACGTGAAGAATTCTTGGGTTCMGATGACTTCATTGTTGCGGTKCTGTACTAACAAACAAATATGATGAGAATGGCAGTGAAGAATGGATGACCAGCGGTAATGTGTTGTTGTAAATTGTGAAATATTGCTTGTTTGTAAAACAACGGATTACGAACACGATTGTTTTGATTGGATTTCAAATAGTGAATGTGTGAATGGGTTCAATACGCACACAAGACACAACGTCGTCGTTTAATTCTAATCATGATGAATACAATGGCGACACAGTAGAGAGAAGAGGCTGGCACCGTGGACTACTCGAATTTTGGTGAAAGCATCGGAATACGGTTCAACGTGTTTTTTAATTGTGACCAATTTCTGGCAAAACAACGGTGAACATAACAGTGGTGGGACTCAGGGTTGCTTCTACCTCTGAACGGAAATAAAACTGGTTTTCCATAACAACCATACGCAACCCTCGCAACTACGGTTGTGTTTGAACGCGACCAAAACCATGCTATGCGTGAGGTTCAGTGGGCGCGTGAAAAAAAAAAGGGTGTGTATTTTTAAAAAAAAGGTTGCGAGCGGTCGCTACTACTTGCGAACACTTTTTGTGACGTGCCTGCTTTAAAGTGAATCAGTCCCTTCATTGGATTCCACATCATCAGGTGTTTGGGGGGGTCTACTCACACCACTAAGCAATGGCTCCACTCCACAGAGGCGAGCTTGCTTGATTCTCTCTGTCTGTTTTTGTATGGTGATATCACGCACAGTCTTGAGTGCATGGGAAATATCTTTCAATATGTATTTGGATTGACCTTGATGTCTCATTTTCGTTCTTTATTTCTCTAGAGAAACACCCTGGCCGTGACCTTAATTACTGTACAGGGTAAACCTACTACTACTACTACCTGTGTAGAGCTCCACGGTTCAATTTGAACTGAAAGAGCTAAGGTTGGGGACTTACATGTTCCTGATGTTGCAAGGAAATATTGGATAAGTGCAGGAGTTAATCAAAGAGAGTATTTGTGGCAGTAGGAACGAGACAGAAAACTTTGTCTCGCTGCCTCAGACGATAAGGCATTGTACGTTCGGTACCATTGTCATGTGTGAAGTAAGTAATAAATTGTTTTGAACAGTACTATTTCCGCAGAATAGAAATTGCTTCATTAAAAAATGATTTTTGAAACTATTTCAACACGGCGTGAATCGCCAAATTTCCTTCGTCAGACCAGCATTTGCAATCGTCTCTCGTTGTAGTTTGATGTACTGCCGCTGAGCTACGCGATGGCAATGCAGCCCAACATAAGATTTGACGGGATTTTAGAGAGCAGAAAGGAGAATAATATGGGTCTCTATCGTGCTCCATCCCGGTAAAAGTGTACCAATTTCCATCCTTTTGGTCCTTGGTGAGACCAGATCCTCGTCTCCCGAAAAGAAATGCCCGAATCTAAAGTCCGGTCGTAGCTAACAGACACCTTTCTCCCTGTGATAAATATCATTTCAGCGCACTTTACATCTATTTTTCTGGACTGTTTGTCTCCTTCCGCTTCTTGTTCTTTCATCACAAACAAGTCTTCTTCGATTACGTTATCCTGTGAATCTGAGAACATCTCTTCTGCGCATAGAGCGCGGTAAGAATCAATATCACCATTAGCAACAGCCTCTAACAGCCTCATATTAGCAGATAAAACATCATTTGCAATAAACGAGTTCATATTATTCTGAGTTTCTTCCCAAACTTCCTCGATTGATTTTTGCCCTTCGATTTCCACGACTTTTAGCATCGACGATGTTTTTTCGTCAATTATCTTCAAGACATTCACCACAGGTACTGTTTCACTCTGAAAAGTCTTAAACCGTCTTCGTAAACTTTCCAAATTGTCGTCTGATCTGCCGGAATCTTTAGAACGTTGCATCACCCGTTCCTCCAAAAGTGGAAGGGGACAGTTGTAAGATAATACACCCCAAACTGCAGCAGCATCAGTGTTTGATTCGTCGCTCTTATCATTTCTTGTCATACAGCGTGTCCATCCTTCCAAGTTGTCAAAATTGCGCGGGAAGCCATCAATCAAAAATATGAGAGAGTCATTGCCTTCGACTTCACGCATGGCATTTTCCAAAAGTGCCAACGAAATCTCAACTGGAACAATTTTTCCAGCCACAAGACATTCTTCAATCAGTGTTGCGTGCTCCGAAGATCCATCCTTCTTCTCTGCTTCGTCTCGCAATAACTGCCCAGCTGATAAGTGGTGGCAAGGATAATTTTCGATCAAAAGATCACACTGCGTTCCTTTTCCAGCGCCTACGTTGTTCCGGTGTGATTAAATCGAAGAAAAGAGAAAAATAATTTAATTTTTTGTTGAGATGCCGCTTAGAAAATCGATGCGACAGGTAGTGAGGACTTTCGTAAAAGAAAGACTTCGTCAGAATGCCTTACCTGGACCGCCCAATATGAAAACTACACGAAATAGCGATGATGATTTGGACGAAGAAGAATCTCTGTATGCCAAGCCGCCGAACGACTTCATTGGTGTGTCGGTTGTCCCTCCTGATGCAATCGACAGCGACTGCAGCGCCCTTCGTTCAAAAGCATCATTTTCGTCAGTAGAGCTAGCAGGGAGGTCCAACGGAGAAGCGGTACTGCATAAGTTTGTCTTCGATTTAGTTACTGGTAATGCTGACTGATTACTCGAAAAAGACTGCGAAACTCCACCTCGAATCAGCCAAAAACGATCACTGTGCCCATTGCCGGTAGAGAGTGTAGACCACGTTCCAGCAGAGATTCTCGAATTGAGTCTCTGGTTTTTGTTTGCATTAGAGGCAAAAGCATGGCAACGAGGCAAAAGCTGCTGCATTCTAAGATTTGTCGTCAAGAACATCAACATTGCTATTTGCATAAGCAATCGAATAACAGAGAAAGCTAACATAGGGTCTTTACGCATTGCTTTTGTCACGACAAAGATATTATATAATGAGTATTTTTGGATGGTGACCTGTGTATCTATTTGGGATTTCCATTTCGCAGAGGGCATGTCCATGCTATGGGAAGACAAGACAGCCTTGTTGTTTGCTCCATTGGGAATGGATTAAATAATTGAAGTTCGATGACAGGATTTTTGATTTTTATGCCTGTGTAAAAATATAATATTACACGTGTAAGATTCGTCGCTAAACAAAAAGCAAGTTGATATCTACTAACCACATGTTGTGTATACTGGGTGATTCCCGTTATTATAGAATTGCTAAATTTGATAGACAGACAGACCAAAAATCTATTACATGTTGTTTTGGATTAAGCATTTTTAGAATGAGTTGTTGGACCCCATCCAAACTGTGCTAGATTATTCAGGGAACCCACAAAGATTCAACACCAGAGAGCATGCGCTACTAGTACTAGCAGTACTAGAATCCTCTTACTAATACTACTAGTGATATGATGGTCCTCTTTCTTTTTCTTAGAAATGATGATCTCCTGTTCTCAGAATTGCATTGAGGTCAACTATTTGAAGTGGCTACAGCTGTTCTTTTCCAATTTTCTTTGGATTAATCATGGTACTTTCAATCCTCTGCTTGACACCATTACAGTGACACTTTAGATTTGCTGTTTTGGTGGTGCAGCACCATTTTGGGCTCACTAGCTGCTGGTGAAATGGCTGGGCTCTTAGTACGAGGATTCAGAATAAATGTAAGAAGTGTGGTGTACATACTTCCTTTTTTGGTAACAAAGAGCCCTCCAATACCAAAAATGCTATATGATTCTGTGACAAAAATATACTGGTTTTGTGCACACCTGAAAATCAAATGTAGTAATTTCATAATTCCTCATAGATACAAAGGTTCAGGAAATGACCCATTATCTTCTAAACTACTGTACTGTAGGATACTGGATGCTCCTGCTGTAACAAGACCGTCAGGTACGACCTTCTCTACACAAAGAAACTCTCATTTAATCAACCTTATCATATTGATCTGTCACCCCTCCGGTTCTTCAACCATACTCCCCAACCATAACACACTACACACAGTGTCTATTCATTATTTTAAGAGGAAGAAGGGGATCAGCAGGAAGTTGTGGATCAATCAACCAAGTGGTTTTGGAGGAACAGCACTGTAACTACCAGTAGCAAAAAAGACAAACAATCTGAAAGAAAGGAGCTCAACTGTTTCCTTCAAAACAAGCATATCGCTCACCTACAGAGGAAGCCATTGAATGAGAACTTGTTTTCTTCCTACTAGTACTAGTACTAGGAGGACCACTCAATGGAATCATGAATTTGGACACATCTGGTCTAGCACTTGATGGTAACTGGAGTTAGGCCTGGGGAGACCATCTACAGCCTATGGAACTGCTGATGCTGCAATTGGTTGTGGTATATATCGTACAAACAAGAGCAGCAGCTCAAAAATCATGTTGGTTGCTGGTGCGTCACACAAACCTGTACCATGGTTTTTTTCCCCTGGGTACATGAAATAAAATTCGCGCGTGTATTTTCTTGTGATGCTCGCATGCAATTATCTGGCCGTTTTCCTTGGAACATGTTATCGTACCACTCATTTCTCATGTGGAGTTYGATGCCCTTTCTCATGCTCAAAATCAATTCTTTTTCATAGACAATATTATCGTATTCGGAGACGAATTGCTCAACCATTTCAAAATTATCTCAACCATTCAAAAAATACCATGTGTCGTCACRAAAATAWTTTTGCYACTTCATCAATTCCTCAGGTCGGTTTCAAATTCCTCTTTCCTTATGCCAACTCTTCGGCGCCCAACGACAATTTTTCTATTGCTGTCGACAAATTTATTTCACAATGAATCTATTTTACTATCTAACTGCTAGGGATTAAATTCTAAATGTTTCGTGCCGCTATTGTTGTTATTTTTGTATCTACTACTATGTTTCCTTATGATTACTAACGCGGGGGTTCTCATACAGCCCGTATCTTTGACTTCAGCTCATTTAAGTCATCATTGTCCTCCCAGTATTTTTTCTGATCGAAATTTTTCTCCATTTCGCGCAACTTTCTTTTTTTATTAATTCTTTCATCCCTGTCGTCTCTGTTTTCTCTTCTGTATGCTGCCCTTAGTTCTTGTTCAATCTCCGCTGAAGCCTCTTCCYCTCTACGCTTCTTTACCTCTTCTACTAACTTCCCAAACAGCATACGTCCCTCGTAGCTCCAGCCTTCTTTGTTACCTATCCTACTATCGGTGAATTGCTTTCTGGTTTTCTTTCCACTCCCTGAATTATTCCATGATTTGTAGTCATTGTACAAAAACAGCAATGCGAAGGCTTCGTCTGTTGCGGTAAAAATGGAGCTCAGTTTATCCTTGYGTCGCCTTCGCTTGAATTCCGTTTSTTTAGGGGACACTGCCCCTAAAATCCTTGTTACGAAGTACTTGAATTCCGGACTATTTTCTCTTCTGTAGTTACTTCTCAGGACGTATGTCTCTCCTTCATCTCCTTCCGCTATGAAGCAGTTGCCGCCAAACGTGTCTGGTACTTCCTGTTTTTTTTGTCTTCTGTTTTTAACAATCAATGATCGTTGATCGTGAGTCACAAAAACTTCAATTGTGTCCGGAAACGTGCGTGTACTTGCATTTGTTTTGCTTACCCTTGTAATTTTTCCTCGCCAATGTCTGCGCGTTGTGTCTGCAAGCAGTGATAGCACCGTTGATAGTTCCTCCTCCCCACCTTGCCACACTGAAACCAAGCTATCTGGAACTGGGTCCGTACCGAACGTTGTTTCAAGGTTCACCTCTATGATGGCCTCTAGAACTTCATCTTCAACGGGAAACTTTTTGTACTTGAAAAATCTTTCCTTAACGTACGTAACCAGATTATTCTTCATGACCGTCTCATAYTGGTTTTTACGTTTTTGAATTTGTCCAATCACTGCGTCTTCTTGACATCCATCTTCGTTGTTTGTCTCCTCAGTCATGTTACTTGATSTGATAGATATATTAGCTCCTAAAGCTCGAATGGCAGCAAAGATTGCGTTTCGATTAGCATTTCTGTATTGTACTGAATGTTTCRAATGGAACAAGATGTTTATCTCCCGCGATTCAACAACTTACCGCTTTAGCAATATCTACCTATTATGTGTGATAATGTGATTTATGTAGTATTTTGTTTGTTTCTTTCTCAAGTTTATGCCATTGTTTTTTTTACTGTGAAGTTGATTTCGTTTTCTGATTTTGCGCCCTGTACTGGAATATCAGGTTTGGGTTGGAAATATTCTGGCGCGGCTACTGTAAGATTTCTCAGTGTTTGGTACACCCCGTACATCCTTACTGGTTTAATGTAGTACGCACGATATCTCGTGGTCAGGTGAAAGATCTCTGTCCACAATTTTTTTTCTTTAATGCGTACCAGTTCCCAGGTTTATCCAAGTCATATATCTACTATTGATACCAATGAATCGTAAGTACACCGTCATAGTTTTAAACCGTTTCTCCTGACACTTTTTTTCTTATTCCTTTCGGAAAATTCAAATTTGAATTATTTACTTATTTGAATTTCTGGTTCGAACACCAACTCAAAAACCCACGCTAGCACAAGGAATATACATATTTCGGTTCTTTTCTGTTTCTTTCATATTATGTCGTTCATGTAACAGAAAACCATGGTCACACTTTGTTATTGTGTCACCGCGTGACACCCTGCACCTTTTCCAAGTCATGGGCTTCCTAAACCGGGAACGGCGTTCCCGGTTTTGACAGTTTACTCGCAAATTGCAACGGACGGAAAAATCTCAATACAATTTTATTGTTACCAATGGTGTCGTTTGATGATTACACCAAACACTGATTTCTTCTCCAAATGTACACTCCATAAAAAGGCTCAATCGCTTTTTTATTTTTTGGATTACAAATCTTCTTCCTTCAGTCTCCACCTGATTCAATTAAAAGTCCCATCCCACCATGAGTAACAATCCGAATCCTTCTCAATTTCAACTGTCCATACGCACAACCGACCCCAAGCTTAAGGAATTGCTTGACAAATCCGGCGTTCTATGGAAAGGAAAGAGAAGCAGGAGGCTCTTCAGGCAGCTGTCGCAGAAGCTTTGTCAACTGAAGATTACTACGACAAGCATTTTGGCAAAGCGGTAAGCCAACAAGTCATAACACCGTTCACTGAACTCACAACTCGTGTTTACATCGCCAGTAACGTAGTCATGACTAGTACTAATATCAAACAGGCTCCCGCCAAACATCCCGGTGATATTCCCAAGACCATTCATCCATCTGTGAATATCTTTCTTTGCAACAATAAGAAAGGCTTTTGACTTGATTCTCTTTTGCTTCCCATTTCATATAGGGTACACCAGTTCCATCGCATAGGCCAATGGAAAAAAGAGAGCCTCCTTTACCTTTCCGAATAGGTTGAGATTGAGTATTGTGGTACATGTCAAACTCACGATGAAGTCTATCTACCACACGGTACTCTATGTGGCGTTTTGCAGTTTGTTTGATCAGTGAACTGGAAACTCGAGACGTTCTTTTAGCTGGTGCTTTAACCTCCGTCTTGCGGTTGCTTTCACTCCAAGAAGAATCCCATCCAGAGGGGGGGCCACAAAGACGGATGTATTGGGAGAGGTGAAAGTACATGTGGTTTTTTATAAGATTGTTACCATTTCCTTCGTTTCTTCCGAGGTAATTGTTGATGTTGTTAATAAAGTGAACAACCATTTTGTCAAGGTTATTTGTGCCCATTTTCCCTTTGGGAAACTTGAAGGCATTATCGAGGCCGTTCGCATCAGGCTCTGAGTGAAAAATCTCGCTTGGGGTGCCAGACCACTTAAGAAATTCTTCCATCCCCAGAATTAATTCVAGAGCGTATATCCGACCATCAATCTCTTCCTCGCTGTGGTAAGGCCTCWAGAATGCKSGACCATCCTTYGACAACAGCRAGAGGATCTGTAACAGAAGCATACCGCTAAAATGGTTACCCTCCTTTTTCGCAGTATGTATGGACTCAGAGAAGTTGGTTCTGGGGAAATCWYRRTCAGACTGCCTCTGGAGAGAACCACCGTAGTAGCCAGCGATCGAATCCATACRATCAAGGAGCTTCTTTGAATTAGACAGGAAGACGTCGCGGAACATTTCCACTGCACGTTTCG